CATAATTGATACTTACTCCTTCACCTTTGAATGTTTTCCTTACTCTTTCAGCAAACAGATCACAAGAAAACTTCAAATGAAGAAAGGGTTGATTTCTAAATCAGAAGTCATAACGTTGTATATGGAAGAAGTGACGAAAGATACTCCAGGGAATCAACTAAAGTGCAAACTTTTATTCAAAGACTTAAGAAAATATTACAAAGAAAATATTTAGAGTACAAGAAAGAGAGGGGGTTCTAAAACCTGCCTCTAACTAAATACACTTCGTTCCCTTATATAGAGATAAAGGGAATCTTAAAAAGATAAAATAATAAAAAGATACTGGCCCACTCTCTTTACAATGGTCACTAATAAAACGATAAGGCCGACACACTAATATGACCTTGCATTATTTTTACTAGCCGATAGTACTTTCGGCTTCCACTGACATTACTTTATAAAAGTATTATGGTGTTATTACATGTGGCCAACAATTTTATTAAAGTATTCTATTACGCTGTCTGTGGGGGTCTTCATTCTTTATTTTTCCCTTTGATCGCTGTGTTGGTGCTAGAAGATTCTTCTATCTGTTGTTGATATTTTTGTAAAAGAGCCTCAATATCGATCTCTTCATTGCTATCAGCATCATCTTGTCCTTCTCCAGCTATGCAAGTAGTATCATCATCATCATTAGTATGGCTAGCTGATGCCATAGAAATATCATCCTTAATTTCAATATCAAGATTTCTCATTAAATCTTTCTTCACTTCTTCCATATACAACGCTATGGCTTCTGATTTAGAAATTAGCCTTTTCTTAATTTGAAGTTTTCTTGTGATCTTTTTAAATGGACTCAGATCATCTACCACCTGTGGTTCTGATGTAGCAATATCATAATATCTGCTAATTTTTTCACTTATTGAATCAAGAGTTTCTTGACCATGAACCTGTCTTTCCTGGTTCTTCTGCAATAGTTTACTCCAGAACTTTGTATAAAATGTCCTTTGTAAACATGGAAATCCATCAGAAGTAGTATTAACTTCCACCGACCATTTCATGATCCATGGAATAGAGAACTCAATGAAGAAGTACGTTATTGACATTCCTTCAAAGAATATATTATTATCCTGTAAACTTATAATTTTTGGGGAGATATCTACCCATTCTGAATATAATTTTTTGTATGATTCTGGTAGAATTTTTACCGAAGGACCATATAATGTCCACCATTTGCAAAACCAATTTGGTATATGCCTTTCGAATATATTACCGCATATCTTAATAAACCACGAATGCTTCTTATTAACATTTTCATATAACAGGGCTTTATTAAAGCCATCAATGTAATCCTAGTAATTATATTTTATCGCGACTTTCTGCTCAGGATGGATATAATCCATCTCTTTCAAAGGGCCCATACCCTATTCTTAAGGTGTTAAGATCTTCTTTATAATCATCTTAGAAAAGTTATAAACTTTTTTCGTATTCGCCGGGTAAAAGTGTTGAAATTCACATGACCCTGTGGCTGAGAGTATTATCTCATAATGCATTATGTATTTATAAACAGTAGTAGTATAACTCACTGTATCCAGATATCTGGACATTACCTGCCATGGTTCATTTTTCCATCTCAGGTCACTATTTTCCAGTAGAATTATAACTTTTCTTTTGTCATGTAAATCAAATACTTCTATGTTTTCATCATCCATGAGGATGGTGGAATATGTTGGTAGATTATTATCCGATTCCTTCTTGGATTTCATATGCAATAGTGTGTCGGCCTTATCGTTTTATTAGTGGCCATTGTATAGAGAGTGGGCCAGCATCTTTTTATTATTTTATCTTTTTAAGATTCCCTTTATCTTTATATAAGGGAACGAAGCGTGTTTAGTTAGAGGCAGGTTTTAGAGCCCCCTTTCTTTTTTGTACTCTAAATATTTTCTTAAGTCTTTGAATAAAAGTTTGCAATTTGGTTGATTCCCTGGGATTTCGTCTTGAGGAACTTTTCTTATTTGTTTTAGTTTCCTCTTTTTTATTAAGCCCAAATGATGGGCTAAACTCTTTGTGTTGAACTGTATCATACTAAGTTACTATTAGTGGATGGCGTTGTGTCTATTATGAATTATTATTATTATTAATATTATTATTATTATTTACGAAAACCTTATTTACATAGGTAAATATGTATATTTATTATTATACCAAATAAGTACTACTTAATAAGTAATACGTTTAATTATTTTATTTCTCTATTTTTTATCGGTAAATCACTTTTTTATTTCTAATGTTAATATTAGATCTTTAATATTATTAGTAAAAAAACATATGTCAATTGAATTTAAAAAATTAAAAGTACCACAAATAAAACTCTTCAAATTTGATTCATGACCACATAAATTGGGACAGAGAAAAATAACATATTATTTACAAATTATGTCAATTTTATAAGTTACGATAATTAAAACTTAATTTTTTTAAGAAAATATATATTAAAAAATTGAGTGGCTCTCCAAATTTCATCTGTGCCACATAAATTACAACAAAATAAATGATATATGTTGGGTCTGTGCTGGCACGGGCGTACGTATCTAGTATAATACATATGTCTTATTAAAAGTGGTATTCCATTAGACAAGTTGTCTTATTCCTCTATACAAAGTCCTCTTTTTAACTCATTTTGAGCCATCAAATAAGACCACCTACCCATTCAATTATTAGCGTTTTGTGGAGGCTTTTGTTACAAATCAAAACCTTTGGTTCCTAAGATGTTAGGATTAGTTGATCGTAATTAGTTCATAAAATGTAACTGAAAAAAAAAATGATTTTATAAATAAACAGATACTTAGATGGAGATGTTAAAATTGCTATATTTTGTCTTAATTAACGTGACATAACTTTTCTTTTAATTAGTCCGTCCCATTCAAAATATTACATTTCTATAATAAAAAAAAAGAATTTTAAATTTTAAATTGTCATTTTATCTGAAATGATTTATAATCAAATAAATATTTAAGATTTATTTTAGATCATAAATTTTATTATTTTTTCTTAAACTTTATGTCAAGTCATACAGTGTGCCTGTTTGGATTAACTTATTTTAAGGTGTTTTTCCCTTTTAAACACTTTTTCAGTTTTGGAGGTGTTTGAAAATGCTAAAAATATTTTTAAGCACTCACTTTTAGGCCAAACAAGTTTTTAAATAAGTCAAAAGCCAAAAATAGAGTTTTCTCAACTCATGACTTTTAGCTTTTGACGTATAAATTACTTGAAAGAGAAAGAAAGAAGGAGGAAGAAGGAGAAAGAAATCTTCAAAGAGATTTTAAATTTTGAATTTTGAGAAGAGAGGGAAAACTTTTCAAACATTTTGAAATTAGAAATTGGGTTTATTTTGAATATTTTTAAAAGTTTAGAAGTTTTAAATATTATATTTTAGACTCCAATTATCTTAATCACTAATTAAAAAATAGTTTGACTTGGTCAATCTTTTTTGTCACCAATTTTAATTTCAACACTTTTTTGTCACCTCCTCAATTTACTCAAGTTACTTTTTATAAGCTTATCCAGATAGACCCGAAATATTAAAGAGAAAATTTTAGAAATAACAAATATAATAGACATAATAAGACTCTATAAAAGGAAAGGCTCAAAATAGTCCTCATCTTTGGGTTAAGACTTAAAGTCATCCTTGAGTTTTCACATGGAGCACTAATAGTCCCTCATGTTTGCATTATTGGTGCACTTTTGGTCCTCCTCCAAAATTTTGCCTATTTTTTAACATTGATTTTATCCATAACTTATGTATGATATGTTCAATCGTCATTTTATATATTAAGTAGAAATAATAACTCCATATGAGAGAATGTGAGAAGAAAAACATCTTGTTTTGTTTAGTAGAAATTGTATTGCAGGTAAAGTCGAGAGGTTCATCACGACGATTTCATGTGCCATAGTACAATTTTTTCTTTTCTTACAATGTCATATGTTAAAATATTTTTAGCTTAGCTGCAATAATATTTCTTCTGAACAGAACAAGGTGTTCTTCTTCTCACCTTCTCTCACATAGAATTATTATTTCTACNNNNAATGTGTTCTTCTTATCACCTTCTCTCACATAGAGTTGTTATTTTTACTAAATATATAAAAAGACGATTGAACATTCCTTACATAAAATTGTGGACAAAATTAATGTTAAAAAATAGGCAAAAATTTTGAGGAGAACCAAAAATGCACCAATATTGCAAACATGAGGGACTATTAGTGCTCCATGTGAAAACTCAAGGATGACTTTGAGCCTTAACCCAAAAATGAGGGACTATTTTGAGTCTTTCCTCGACTCTATAAATATAGTCTTGATAATTGCGCTCTATAGCTATAGTTTTGTTTGTTATGGAGGCTGCGGTTTGTATATTTCCCTTGCGAATATACAAATAGGGTAAATATATATATATTATGTATCATACATTTAAGATTTTTTCAGAACTTCGTTTGTATATTTCGCTTGCTAATATACAAACATAATACATTTTTCATAAATCTTATACAAATAGCTGTGGTAAGCATATAAAAAATTCTGGATTTATACCATCAGGAACTGAATTATACAAATTCTGAACTTATACAAATCAAACGAATTATACAAGTCAGACGAATTATGCAAATCAAGCGAATACCAAGAATTGGAGAAACTGTGACCGCGAATTACAATTTTCTTAAATTGTAGCTATAGTACCTAATATAGGCTAAATATTTGCTATTTGGCATAATTTTACCTATATTAAACAGTTTACTAGCTTATAAGCTAAGGTAAACATAACTTCATCTAGAGTAGTTCTTTTACGAACAATACTTTTCTTACTTTGAAACCGTGTACGCGTAACAAGTTTGTCAATAAAAGTTGATCAAATGGTATAATAACTTACGTCCCCCACCACTACTATAAATACTTCTCTCACATTATCACTTTCATCACAATATTTGTACAACTAACCCATTCTTATTCCAATCTAATTCAAAAACCAAAAATGTCAGGAATCATTCACAAGATAGAAGAGAAACTCCATATTGGAGGCCACAAGGAAGGAGAAAAGCACCATGACCATAATAAGCACAAGCAAGAAGAGCACAAAAATGAACATGGTCATAGTGAAGAGCACCATCACAAGAAGGATAAGAAAGACAAGAAGGATAAGAAGGACAAGAAAGACAAGAAGGATAAGAAGAAAGACAAGAAGCACAAAAATGAACATGGTCATAGTGAAGAGCACCATCACAAGAAGGATAAGAAAGACAAGAAGGATAAGAAGGACAAGAAAGACAAGAAGGATAAGAAGCATAACAACAGCAGCAGTGACAGTGATTAGATCGTATTTGGATGATTGTTATGTATTGTTTCATAATGTATCATATTGTATGATGTATGTTTTAACTAATAAAATGTTTGAATAAATTGTATCATTCTCTGTTATGACGTAATGTTACAAATCAACAATCTAAATGATAAACCTTACAAAAAAAAAAAAAAGGATACAAGAAAAGTAGGATATAAGGTGAAGCTACTATAAATAAGTGGGATAAAAGATAAAATATAATTATCAATAATAAGTAAATATAAAATTAGAAGAAAATATTAATACAATGATGCGTCATTACACCAAATTAATTGAGGATTATAGAAAGTGACATTCCAAGAAAAAGAGCACGAGTACTAAAGAAATAAAGCAAAACACAAAATTAAAAAATACTAGCACAGCATATAGGAAGGCAAGACAGGTGTCTAGTTTTTTTTTTTTTTTTTTTTTTTAATAAAAAAATCCAATTAATAAGATTAGCAAAATTTACATAGCCAAAGGGGGACATGACAACCTAACCTCCAGACACAAAAAGAGCTTTTACAATGGAGTTAAAATACCAATACACCCTCGAATATGAATTTACTTCCTGGAAACAAACATGTTGATACCAAATTTAACTGAGTACTCTTCTAATAAATATTGTAGAATGTAGAAAGAAAGAAAGAAAGAAAGAAAATAAAGGACTGGCCGGGATGTAGCAAACATTCATAATTAATTATATCATTTGTAATTAAGCACACAACCTACATGAATATTAAGTATTAATATCATGAGTTGTATAAGTGAAATGAATATTAACATTTAATCATATCACTTACTGATATTAATAGGTGCCAATATAACTTTTGTCAAAGAAGACTCTCACCATGGTGAATGCATCATCCAACGTACATGAATACAAGTTCTCACTCACAAATGGATGTATCAGTTAATTAGCATGCAATGTATCTTCCAACTCTGTGTTTTCTATTTTACTAGTATAAATGAGACGTTTTTGAAATATAAGTTCACAAAAGAAGAAGAAAAAATGTTGAGTTAAATAGTGAAAAGATCAAAAACCAGCTCGTAATTTCTGTCTTGATCCTTTTGCAGGTGATGCACTTTGTTGTTTAAATTGCTTGTTTCTTTGCTAATTTCATTTTTAACCAGCACAAATCATATGATAAACCTATTCTTTGAGCTTTTCTGATTGGTTATAGTTTAAAACTTCTTGCTAATATACTTTCACATAAAAAATATCTAATATTCTCATAATTAAGATACTCGGTTAATCCTCATACCATATGGATTGTAATTTTAGTACATTCAGCCTTGATAAGTGTGATTCCGTTTGATTTTATTTCTTGATCAAGTTTTTAATTTTCAAGATTGTTACCCTATACACTAGTTCTGGATGGGAATTGAAGATAAAACACTGCTTTGTTTCTGTCACTGGGGCAGGATAAATAAGGTTCTACCCGATGGACTCATTTCGTATAAGGGAGGTACTACTGATCATGTTATTGCAAAGATGGGCATAAAGTACGATGATTTTGTGAATGCAGTTTTTGATCGATCAGGGATTGATCCTTCAAATAAGATGTTGTATTTTACTGTGAAGTTTGATAGGTCGGAATTGATACAACTGAGGGACCAATAAGGTATTGATACTATGTTGCAATGGTTATGCTTCATCAAGTCTGGAGAAGGAAATGTGCCTCACTTGCAACATTAGGCACATGTATCAGGTCAATCGTACTCTACATTGCAAGAAATGCTCGACGCCTTTTAATGAGTATGCTTTAGGTTCTCACGGTACAGATTGTACACCCAAACAGAGGGAGGCCAGAACATTCCCCTTAAAGCTTGGTTAAAGCAGAGAAATCTTCTGAACCAAGGAACCTCGAGAATGACTACGGGCAGCAATGGGTTTCCATGTACCCAAACAGGATCCCAACAGGACGCTGCAATGACAAAGGTGGCTTGCGAAAGCAGGAAAAGATTTCGGAAGCAGACAGTTGAATTGAGTGAAAGCGATGATACTTCAATCAGTGTGGAGACAGAAGATGCAGAAATTGAGAATGGAAACAGTCCACCTGCTGGACTTTCAAATACAACAAAAGTCCAATTGAAACCGTTGTACCGCTCTACAATTCAGCTTACACCACATCCAGATGGACTTTCAAATACAAACGAAATTAAGTAAATGTCAGGTTACTTCCAAGTAAAAAACTGAAACTAGAGCCTCAGCTTCCCCAGTTTGCAGCCAGTATGAAATTAGTAACTCCAAGAGAGCTCCCTCCAATTATCTAGGCTGGAACAAAGGTGATACTCTCCGTCGAACAACATCCTGCATCTGCTCCACTGTCAGCACAGAAGCTCCAGTCTCAAAGTTAGCCTTATTCGACTGCTGGTGAATCTGTCAAACATGCAGATTAATTTAGAAGAACAATATTTGGTACCACGACCAAAATAAATAGCTTATTTATGTGGAAATCTAATTTTGTAACTTCCATCACGCTTTCATGGAGTTGTAAATTCTGATGACAAAAGCTCATGGTCAACATACTCCATTGCTTCAGGTACTTATTTGACTTCCCCTGATGTTATCCAATCTCTTGATCAAGCAGAGAGTTCATGTTTTTCAATGTTTTGTTTATGAAGTTAGCATCTTCATTCATGAGGAAATTGTCTTAGTATGTAATTTAGTCATCATTACCTTCTCAAGTATTGCAGACTGATCATCCATGTGAAAGCTGCGCATGTACTTCAGCATCTCCAGTTGCTGTCAAAATATTTGTATCCACTCTTACTATCACAGCTATAACATAATTAAACCTCAAGAGAAGAGATCTCTTACCTGCTCTTGTAAATTCTGTTGCATTCTTAATCTTTCAGCAAACCTTTCCGGCCCAAGCTCGGCCTCTTCACAAGCCATTTCTTCTCTTCATGGAAGGTAGAATAAAGAAAAAAAACAATCCTAGTCAGCTACTTTTATAGAATTCAATATTCATTAAATTTGTACTCGAGTTGTTAGCAAGAGAAGCCTTAATGGTAAAGTGCCCTCTATTGAATAAATAAGAGAAATACATTGCATTATATCCTATTGACCACTGTGCCAAGAAATTTTCTTGAAAAGGTCCAAAGGTGAAAACAAACACAATATAGAAGTTCATCTTAACAATAAACAGAGGAATAAAATTGATATACAGAAATGAACACATGCACTGCAACACCCTTAAAGACGGAATATTCTGATCTTACTTTGCAACAAATTCGTAAAAACGAATCATCAGGTCTCGATCACTCTCATAGGTCATGTTTATTTTTCCCAAGCAAGCAAGACCAAGTTGTGGATCTGCAACAGAGAAATAAGGAATTCACAATGGTTATATATTACAATGATATAACTCTATGAAGCATTTTCCCCAAATAGTAGATGACACTGCATTTTCACCAGTGGAAAATGTTAGTATTAGTTTCTAAGCCGACGAAAAGAAGGAAAGGGGAGAAGGAACGCAATGTTCCATCTTTTAATCAAATCAAACAAAGAAACAATGAAAACAGGATTATCATCTTCTGGACAGTGGGCAATATGGCTTGTTATTCCAAGCTAAACTATACAATTTCATGAAACATAAATAGTACTATCAGCAGCAAGAACTATACATGAACTAAGTTTACAAAATCGGGTTGTAACAAATCTGCAGCTCAGCCCCCATCTGCAAAACTGGACGTTGACATCTCTTTTTTGAAACAATGACCAAGCAAGATGGTTCAACTAGATTAGAATTAAAATGCTGATTCTTTTCACATTTGTTTGAACATAAAGTAGGGATTAAACAGCAGCAAAAGAAGCATTTGCGTACTCAAAAATTGTCTAAGTTAATTTCTTGCAGTAAAACGCGAGTGATTTAACGCTCACCAATTCCTATCTCTGAAAATATCTCCTCTTGGATAGCAGTTGTAATAGCAACAGCTTCCTGCATATAATGATGCTCCATATTTTGATTTCAAAGTAGAATCGTAAATGAATGGAGAAAACTAATTATTGTTGAACATGGAAGATATTGACATTAAACAAGTCAATGGGTCATTACAACAATGATTTTCATCAAAAATTCAAATCATATCCCATTAAGACGCCAATCACAAAGCTCCTGGCAAGTTCAACATGGCATGGTATCTTGAGTTCACGCGAGGTACTCTTGGAATAACATTCTCCATTAGTCACTATCCTATATGATTTGTCATTTTGGATTTACCTTCCTAACATGAAGGTACCATACCCATACCATTCAGTGGTGGATCCAAGATTTTAAATTAATGGGTGCTCGCACATGACGTATTGTAGCATATATAATCAATAGATTCCTACATTTTCGTGACAAAGTATAAATATAGAAATAAAAAGTCAGTAAAATTTCAAAATTTTTGAATCATCAAATTTAAAGCTTAGTTTCTTTAATGGTAGAAGAGGACACAACTTTGTTGATTTTGGGGCTTAGTGAAGAAGCAGAGGTCCAAATTATTAGGTATGAAAGTGAAGAAGGAAGCAGAAAATGAATGTTAACCTGTTTGTGATTGAGAGCATCCACAATCCTTTGCTTGACATCTGCAAATCATGATTTGATTTGAGGATAAAGGTAGCAAAAGGCGAAATAGACATAGTTAGTTGAAGAAAAGCAAATCTACATACATACATACATACCAGGTTGGCAAATGAGGAGAGCAAAGCGATCAAAGAGATGAAGAAATTCCTCCTTCGATACCATTCTCTTTCAACTATTTCTCCTTATCCACTCGATAACATATTAGCCGCCGCCTAGGCGTGGGTGGGTGCCTGTGCCCCCACACCCACTATTCAAATTACTTTTTTCTTTTAATTTTATTAGAATTTGGACTTCAAATATACCAAATCAAAATTAAGTGTCCCATCTCCCCGGTCTCTCTTATTTTTTTATTAATAGTCTTATATAACTATGAAATCACTTGTTATGTAATGTGGTATATTGGGAGTGTTAGTAAGTTTAATTAGTTAAGTAGAAGGTACTTTTAAGACTGTCAATCATTCGGAGATGAAACTAGTAATTAATTTATGTCAAATTCAAAAGTGTTTTCAATATTTTTTTTCTAGTTTTAATCCCCTATATATTTTCTTTGGCCAAACAACAAAAACTCCACTAGCTTGCACTTTGTTTGGATTGTTGTTACGTATTATTTCATAATCTGTCGTATCGTATTGTATTGTATCATACTATATTGTTTTGAATGAATACAATGGTTAGATAGATTGTATCGTTCTCCATCGTTACATAATTTCACATAGCTATAATTTGAATGATAAACTTACAAGAAAAGTAAGGCATGGACAGAGCTACTATAAAAAGGTAGGTAAAATAATTGAAATATAATTATTAAATAATAAATAAATATAAAATGACAAAAAATAATAATCAAGGTATACCATGCGATCACATCAAATCGATCTTGAATATGTTTTTCATTACTTAACTATAGATTTAAACGATACAATATGAATTGAATTTAAGTAGCCATAAAAAAAAACTAACAATACAACAGTTAACAACCATCCAAACAAGGTAAGCAAATTACTCTTCAATATTACGAATCTTATTAAAATTTAGACTTCAAATACATGAAATTAAATTAAAGTGTAATTTGTTTCATATACACAATATGCAAGTGGATTAATTTGCATATGTGGCTCTCCTTCTCCTCTCTTCCTATCTATATGTATTTCAAAATGTATCTAGATATATGTATCTAGTGTGATTTGCATGTATCGAAAAACATAGACTATGTTGTTTGCCTTTTTCCTATCTCACTAGCCTCCCTCCATATTTCATAATTGTATCTAGTAGTACATATATTTCAATCATGAAAAATAACCTAGTAACATATATAAGATTCTCAACTTCCAGTGCATCCTGGTGTTAAAGAATAAAGAGGTCAGAGAGATATTCACTCATCTAACTGATTTAGCATGTCTTTCAGCTACTACCTGAAGTTCATTACTTAATTGTTGAGGCTGCTAGAATACTCAATATTGAGGCTCCTGATTTGTATATACGTCAAAGTCCTGTACCCAATGCATATACCCTGGCTGTCAGTGGTAAAAAGTGGTTCATACAAGCCTTCATGTGGAGCTGCTGATCAGTCGCGAAAGGAATTGCAGAAGTTAAATAATAGATATCCTAAGTCAATTTATATAGATTATCAGCAACAAATATTCCTAGAAATCGCATGATACTTATTGAAGTGCTTCAACGTGAATCTGTCTTGGAGTGATCTCTTTGCATTGTAAATTGTATATGAGAAAATGTAAAATATTACATGGCAGGCAAGTGTTTTTGCCCTTATGTTTTCTATTTAAAAGCAACTTTCGTTTGGCATATTGATATTTTAATCGACATGCATCCTGATGGTCTCATGTGTAACCATGGTGAACAAAAAGATTGTTGTTCAGATTGATGATTCAAAACTAAAAAAACATATATGTGAGACTTTGTTTGCCCAAAAGTTTATGCTACAAAATGTTTATGGTTAAGGGCATTAGGGCTCATAGTACATTTCATGCATCTTAATGCTTGTATATATGGAATTCGACTCAAAGACAAAACCTCCTTTGTATCGTACTCTTCTTGTACCTCGAAAGGGGGTGATGCTACGGACAGCTGTCTAAAGTACAAGGGGTAAACTCAGATAGGATAGCGTGCAACTGTGCATTAATTATATTGCTGCCAGTAGGCATTTCTGCAAGCAAAAAGAGGGGCATATTTCAGTTACAATTGATTTTGAAATCTTTTTACCCACAGGTGTTGGCAGTTTGATTGCTAGAAGAGCAGCGGGAACTCACCTGTGATCGTGCAGCTCTTCTTGTTGCTCAAGATCCAAAGGTAGATGAAACCTGAATAGTAAATTCAGTTTAAGGGGGGCATTAACCACATCAGAAAATCTTATGCATGAATTTCCTTTTCTTTTGTCATGCTCCCACAAGAGGTACGTAGTTGTTTCAGTAATAATGAAATTAGCTGGCAGCTGCCCATCTCTATCGGAGAAACTGAATGTGGATTCATTCTTAGAGCAAGCTCGCTCTTATGACAAAGCATCATCAAGCCCAGTCGGGTGGTATATTAATTAGGTAAATATAATTAACTCTCTTATAGTTTGGCTTGCAATTTTCGCAACTCTTTCTAAGTTCAACAAGTTTTCTCTTTAGAAATGCTCAAACAAGGCAACTTTCACATCCACTCCCTGTTTTACGTGCACGCGAGATTGATGAATGCTCAAGAGTATAGGTCACTTCTTCAGCGGCGTGCAATGCAGGTGAATTCTGTGCAAAAAGTTTAGCGCTTCATGAGAATGAACATTATATTGGAGCTGTCTTTATATATGCACTAATTAATGTCTAAGAATTCAAAGTTTTCTGTAAATGTTTTAGGTACTATCTATTAATTCTTCTTAAAATCTCAGATTGGATTCAGTAGTAAAGGCTGGAGGAGCCTCTACTAACAGGGTCATCAGCATGTAAAACTGACCAGCAGCCACAAATATCCTGCATTTGTGCTCAGACAGACTCTCTACCCTTCTGTTCCTTGTAATTAAGAAGAGAAATTATGAGGATTGATCTCTTTTGCTTTCAGAGCAATGAACATTATATTGGAGCTGTCTTTATATATGCACTAATTAATGTCTAAGAATTCAAAGTTTTCTGTAAATGTTTTAGGTACTATCTATTAATTCTTCTTAAAATCTCAGATTGGATTCAGTAGTAAAGGCTGGAGGAGCCTCTACTAACAGGGTCATCAGCATGTAAAACTGACCAGCAGCCACAAATATCCTGCATTTGTGCTCACTCCTCCTCTCTACCCTTCTGTTCCTTGTAATTTACTAATTCAGTCGAATAACGTTGGCCTTTAATTCTTTTACTGAATTCTTCAGTGGGGGTCTCTTTTGCCCCATTTTTACTGAATTCCTCTGCCTCGTTTAAACACACCTAGAATCTCAATACTGCATCCACTTAGATTAAAAGATCACCAAACCTGTCAAAAGAATGAAACATTGAGCATCACAATTCACATACCAACAAAGCAAGGGACAGGATCTAGCAAAAAAAAAATAAAAAAAAATAACAATATGCATAAGAGAAGGAGTTGAAAAAAATAAAAAAAAGGTAAGGGGAACACTTATTTAACAAGAATTATCTAAATAAAAAAAATGCTCTTTGTTAATTCAGATTTCACAACGTTTAAATTGTAGACCTAAAACAAATATGCTATACAATCAAATGCTTCTCTATACAGATGTATATTACAATTTCGCAGCAAAGAAGCCACACTAAGATACAAAAACAAAAGTAAATTTTGACTAACTCTTCTACGTACCTTATATAACTAGCTAGGCTTGGGCATCGAGCCAAGACTTCTTAAAATATTAAGTTGAGTTTAGCTTAATCGAGCTTTGTTAAATATAATAGAGGTTGAGTCGACCCTGAGTTGACTCCTTATATTTAGTTCCACGTTATGCTACACCATCATAATTTAAATTCATAATGAACTTGTATGGGAAGAAAAATATATACACATTGATACAATCATACTCATTTTGAACAGATTAACTTTACATCCTAGATTTGCCTCTACTAACCATAGCTTCTTCCTTGTTATGAATTTGATGTGCTTGCATCTCAACCGCACTATATACATATGAAAATAAAAAACATAGATAATAAGATTACATAACTTATTTTGTACTCACTGACTCTATATACTAAATTCGCCTAGCTTTGCTAACGCATACCCCCTATTGGGGGCTGGTTGATGTTGTTGAGCTGGCATGGTTGCCGAACTACATATAATACATATAATTAAAAAAATAAGTACTTCCACCATTTCAGTTTATGTGACACTATTTCCTTATCAGTCCTTTCAATATGGTAAACACACATCTCTATATGAAATAGGTCACATAAACTAAGATTGAGGAAATATATCATATGTAATTATATGATACAACTCATTTTGAATCCACTTACTCTACATTGTGAACTCGGCTTTGCTAACTTGTACCCCCATTGGGATTGATCTTGAACTTGAAGTTGTGCTTGCATGGGGCGTGACCATTAAATTGAGAGTGAGGAAATATATCATATCATATATAATAATATGATTTTACTCATTTTTTGAATCCACATATTCTACAATGTAAACTCGGATCTGCTAACTCGTACCCCATTGGGACTGGTGTTGAAGTTGTGCTTGCATATGAGGCGGACATGGTGATACTCTCCAAATCTTGACTGATTTATCGAGGCTACCACTATACACGATAAATTGTCGATCACCATTAATAGTTGGTCCATGATCTTCTTCAACAGCCATACACTTAACAGGACCAGAATGTCCTTTCAACACTGATAAACATATATGATCACAACCTTCTCTTCTCCACACACAAATATTCGTGTCTGCTGATCCACTAAACACTAAATTCCCCGCGGTAGCTAAGCAAAGAACCGCAGATTTATGACCTCTGAGAACTCCTCCGTGTGACAAAAACTTGGCGCGCTCCCAAAAGTTTACAAAACCATCAGATGAACCACAATAGAGGAAATTTGAACTAGGATCAACAACTAAGGATGTTACCGCGCATTCTTGATTCAACAATGTTTGTGAAAAGAAGTGTTTCGTTTTATTACCTTGTAATTCTCTTCTCCAAACTTTTACTGTTCCATCAGCTGATCCTGAAAAGATTAGCCCATCAAATCCAACAACTACTGAATTTACTGCATCTTCATGTGCACTTATTGATTCTAAACACTTAAAATCTGATGATCTCCAAACCTTTATGGTTTTATCCCAAGATGCTGAATATAACAGATTTTGATCTTCACTCATACTAAGAGATGAAATAGCATCAAAATGTCTTATCCACACCGAGTTTCTATTTCTTCTCACTTCAACGTAATTATTCGGATTCATTGAACTTTTTATATATGCCTTCAAAGTTGGTAATGTTCCAATCCTCCTGTAAACGTTTGGATCGTTAGGAGAAACCTTCCACACTCGTACCTGTTGAAAACATAATTTTAAATATGCTATATTTCATAACTTAAGTTTTTAGATAAATTAGACGTACACAACAATATGAATATTAACATTGTCACCCCATATCAAAAAGTTAAACCTAACAAATCAAGATATAACTAAGAAAACAAAAGTTATGATTTTTCTGATTGTTTAAACTTTTAGATGAGATAATTACAGATGTCAACAGTACCTTTCCATCTTGATGACCCGTGAAGATTCTTTCTCCACTAATGATTATTGCCTTCACCAATCCACTATTTGATTTGAATCCTGCAAATTCTTTTTGATTTTTCCATATCCTAATATTTTTGCTATCTGATCCGGTATATAACAAGTCCCCAGAAGCCGCTAATGAATATATATGTCCTTCTTCACGAACAAGAGAGCCAATAAGGCCCGTATATAGATAGCTTTCAACATGAGAGGACCATGGAGATTTCGATAAAGGAGACGATGTTAGGTCCATAGAAGGCGCTATATATGGAGTACTCGATAATGAATAACATTCCTCTGAAGGTGAAGGTGAGATCATCATATTGTAGTCTGAGCTCAATCTAGATGCGCGATGATTATGATCATAATTTGCAAGGCCAGATTGATCAGATGTATTGCTTGTACGAAAATTAATATATTCATCTTGATCATGATTTGGATCGGATTGTAACATGCTACCAAATGTTTGTCTCCTAGGGACGCTGCTTTGATCCTCCATAGCCATTTTGTTGTTGTATTTTTTCGAATTCCTCATCATCATGTAATCTTTTGAGAAACAAAAATAATAAGGCGTAATGATGTGGGCACTAATGTTGCGTAAGATGATGGGAGAAGAAAATAATAATGTGTGAACAAGGTACGGCCATGAACATATATTATGTACGTGACTTTTGGGACATGACAAGTTGTCAAATACTATTTATGGAAAAACATTATTTACGGAAATTTTCTTTGGCAATTAATAGGAAATGTTGATTTTTAGTTTTCAACGATTACTAATAATTTAACTTATTATTATATTCTAAAAATATTAATACCAATAGTTTGTTCCAATTTTCTTTTGAGGAATTATAATCTCTTGTTATTTATAGAATGAATAGAAGAAATAAAAATGAAGATTTTTTTTTAATATAAAAAGAACATAAAACTAAAATAAATTTAAATAGACCTACAAAACTCTATTCTTACCGTTGCATTGTGAATTGTGATATTTGCAAACGAGTTTTTGGCTAAAATCATCCCTCAATTATGACTCAAATCTAATGTACATCCTTGTATTGTCTAAATGAGCAAAAACCGTCCTTATACTATCCAAAAAATAACAAGAATCATCCTTCAGTCTATTTTTGCCAAGAAACTGATTGAACCAATAAAAATATACTCTTTTTAATTTGGTCATGTTTTAACCACGACGAGAAGATCAAAGTTACCTAAAACGAATGAGAATATGGATAGGAAATGAATCTTTCATTCTCAGAATTTAAATTTTATATGTTTTTTTTGCATCATCAAGTAAATTGACTTGCAATAATACATAAGTCTTGAAATGTTTATATGGTATGTTCCGATGGCTAGAAAGATTATGTAAAAAAATTTATTTTAAAAATATTACACCCAACTATTTAGAGATTTTCTTTCATAAAATATATAGTATGTATGTACGTTATATACAATGCAATTTACATTTTGTACAACGTACAAAAATGCTGGAAAATTAATGATTTTTTTAGTAGTGGAATGCCTAATGTCGGTAATTTGATACAACGTACAAAAATGTTCACTGGCTATTTCGACAGATATTTTGATTCAATCGGTATGAAAAAAAAATTGTTCTATTTGTTTTATATTGAGATCTTAGGAGGCTTCCCACTATTTCGAATCTATTTTTCGCCATGTATTTTTTTAGTGAGTTGGTTTGGTAGACAATGAATGAAAAAAATCATATTTTATAGCACAATTTTTTTACTAATTCACAACAAGAAAAATCTTTGTTTCTAGTAGAGTGTTTGGACATATATAGTATTTGTAAATAACTAAATATTATTTTCAATTTGCCTTATTATTTGAGTTTCAACTTGAATAGAAAATTTGATGTTGAAAAATTAGTGTGTAAAGTATTTCAAGTGGAATAGTATGACTTTCATTCACAAAATTATCTCAATATTTTTCAAAGTAAACTTCAGGTTCCAGTCCTTGTTTTCAACTTTAACTTCAAACAAATATTAATAATCCAGTAAGAACTCTTTCAATTTTAAAAAGGGATTTTTTGTGTGTACTAATAGTGTAAAAGACATTTAAGTTTTAATATGGTATAGAATGTTAACTCTCTTTGTAGGTCAATTCTTACTATTTACTAGTTATATTGATTATAATTACTATTAGTTATCTTTAAAAACTTAATATTCTCTTATTAGAGTTTAGGCTGAAGCAGTACCTTGTTGATGTGTTTGCTTCGATAAAGATATTTTTGAGAATAAAATAAATATTTCCTTTATTTCACTTTAATTTAATCAGTGTATAAAAGTTAATACAACGAATTAGTGAGGTAAGCCTTGCGTATTGGATACGTTAACTTGGAATTTGAAATACTTGGCCATTGTGAATGTATGAAAACATTTGATTGGATCCATTCAACTTCAACTTTTAAGATGGAAGAACAACCAAATTGACTTTTTTGCCTATACATGATAAAATTGTGATATGAAAATGACATTTTCAATAATTCAAGCTCATGTTACACAATCGAAGGAAGATTCTACAAATCACAAAGTCTTTTTAAATTACTTCTTTAGGGAATTGACTTTATAAAACTTATATAGATATGTTTTAATTGTAATTTGTCTTTTATTAATTATATTTGAATATACTTATAACTTAGTTTTCATGGTTTTTAAAAACTAGACACTTAACATCCTAAGCTAGTAAAATCTAAACTATTATATTTGCGTAGAATTTGCACTAATATAGGGATTTAAGTATTTAATTTTAAAATACTTTATGATATATTTATAATTGGATCACATCAAAGATGTTTAATGTAATTTAATTATATCAAAGATGTTTAATATAGTTTAATTATATCAAAGATGTTTACTGTAATTTAATTATAATAATTACATGGTGTGAAACCAAATATATACAAGTTGAATTTCTTAATCCCCAATGGTTTCCATAATTTAAATAAGGTGATGGATTCTTTAATTTTCTTGACAAGTTGACCTTTGATGCAAGCTTTTTGTTTGTCTAATTCTTGTTGAAACTCACATTTGAACTTTCCGTCTCTCTTGAGGTTTGTTTGTATATCAAGTAGGTTACCACCCATGGATATTTTGTGCAATGGATAAGATGCCTCAATCTTAATCAATGGTCATAATTAATTCTAAGAAAGAATTTCTCTTTTGATAGAACATGTTTTTCCCTTCTATAAATTCAAATTTATTTAATTTGATTGGTGCGAACTAATTATCAAATAGTAAAATAAAAGGTATAATAATTAAATTTGAACCCTTCACCTTCATTTGGGGTATGACACAAAACTTGTCAAGTGAACTAGCCGCAAATAGCTAGGCTAATTACTCCTTGTGTTCATCTTTACTTATCCTCTATGCTAAAAATAGTTATCCAACAATACTTGTTCAGTTTGAAAAATCAAGAGATAATTTACCTTTTTATATCTATTTTACCCTTACTATTAAATATTATTCAACATCTAATACATTTATCAAAGCATTAAATTTAGTATATTCAAAGGGTAATGTAGAAATATTAATCCTATCATTTATTATTTCTTAAGGTATGTGTCAAATCAATCGTGGATAACTATTGTTGAATAGGGAGAATAGTTGCGTAAAGGGGGAGAAGATTGTATATTTACTAGTTGGTGGAAAGGTGGGGAGATACTTTTTGAGATGTAAATTGGATCTATTAAATGTGAGCTAAAATTGAAAGCCAAGAATATAAGTTAGAGTTGACAAATTGTAAGTTGTCACGGAGATTAAGTCCGCCTTGATAGTTTTGCTTTACGATTTTGTAGGAGTACATACCACTAGTTCTTATAGACACCTCCCTGTCTTATTAAAGCTCATTAAGAAGCTTTATCGCCAATAGTAAAATTCTAGCATCGATCTAATCTATAAAGTTACCGCAAAATGTGAGTTAGAATTGATGAATATTTTAGAACTTATTGAATATATAAATAAGTTTGAATGTTGGATTTGATTAAATGATGAGGGTGTGTCTTTGCGATGAAGAAAAACATTGTATTGACTTTTCCGGCTCGCAAAGAGCATTATTGCATTACGACACCAAGATGATGCTAAAGTGTGTTTCAATAAAAATGAGCAAATTGAACTTAAGGTTCTTTACACAAAGAAGCCAGATGAAAAGCGCACACGAAGATTCCACTCTTGCTCCAATGTCAATCATCCTCTGACAGACCCCCCTTCGTGTTTAGGTCATATTTATACTACGTAGGAAAGTCCTTGGACCAAAACGTCCTTAATGAATCAAGTTAAATTCGACCGACAAAAATTGCCTTGAGAAAATGCCAACTGCAGCGCTACTAGCTTTTCCAACAAATTGATATATTAAAGAATTTATTCAAAACTAATACTAACAAAAAAAATAATCAACTAACAGCCTCCTGAGGTCTAATCCCAACATATTACTCCCTCCGTTCACTTTTATTTGTCATGTATTGTGCTTTTCAAAAGTAAATTTGACTAATTTTCAATAGTTAAATTAGATTACATTAATTTGATATTTTAACCTTTTAATGAATGAACTTAGATGTAGGACGTGATGATTAGTCCATCATTACGTACCTAAAAGAACAAAGTTCTTTACGAAACTAGAAGAACGCGCGCTTGAAAACTCTAGCTTTCACCTCTTGGATACTTTTTCTAAGACTTGAAAGCGTTAATGAGACTAATAGGGTTGACTAATACTGTTTAGAACCTTATTTAGGTGTAAGAACGTCGGGGTTTAGGCATACAAGGGGTGAGAAAAGAATGAATTACACCTCTTAAAAAAGCTATCGAAAACCTTTCACAGGTCTATCTACCGTTCGTTAAGTTTGATCTACAGACTGTAGTTCCCATCCGTGAAATTCATATTAAAATTATAAGGCTGAGAAGTTCATTCTACGGGTCCTAACTATGACCCGTAGAAATTTCTACGACCCGTAGATGGATCCATAAGAATTAAACCCAAAATTTTGACTCCTAGTACTTTTTCCAAGTGTGAAAAGTACGGATCGTAGAAACTTCTACGGCCCGTAGAAGTGATTCATAGGTCACTTACTCAAAAAGCTCTATTGTGGTACTCTCTGCTAAAACGGTCATAACTTTTTACTGCAAACTCGAAATGAGACAACCTTGGTGGCATTGGAAAGATAACTCATAGATCTGTAATTTAATATGTTTTGAGCCACCTAATTTATTATGTTCCGAAAGATATGATTGTTTGAAGTTGACCTAAATAGAATCTTATATCAAAACTTAATCGATAAGGAAACTTTCAACTCAACTTTGTGCTAGGGGATTCTAGCGACCTTAATTCATATCCAATTTCATTCTCACACTAATGAATTGACCTTAACACTTAAGAACAATTTAAGAATCACACGATACGAACTTATATGCAAATAAAGAATGATTTGGGCCTTAGCTTAGAAATTTTTAGGGTGTTACACTTACGTAACTATTTATTTTGTTACCTCATTTATATTCTGACTATTAACATGAATGCACATTATAATTCCTATATTTACCTTTTTTTTTCTATTGCCCTTTCATAATTTTTATTCTCTTATTAT